TGAAATTATTATTCATCAAGAGATTCCTAAAAAATGAATTTTTATTTCCAGTATTATTAATAAGAGGAATATTGAATCGTGTGGGTGATGAATAGTTGATGAAATAATTTACGAATACTTTGGAGATCGACTATCAAAGCATTTCAAACGGCTGGAACTCTAGTAGAAGTTAATGATCGGTATATCTTACAGGTGTTGGTTATTCAAACTATCAAACTATGGAATTTAGCTGGAAACTAGGAATCCTACTCTCATTGCCAATCATCACTTTTCAGGTAGTTAATTCAAATTTTTTTTTTAAGTTGAGAACTCTATTTTATACGAATTAAAAATTGTTTACTCGGTAAGATATGAGGAATCGTTTATTTACGACGACTCTAAAAGAAATAGTTAGCAAATAATTTTAGATGATTTAATATCCATTGTGTTTCCCATCCCAATTCCAATGTAATACGTTTTCTGTGACTTTGTTTGGAATCCAACTTATTTTTTCTTTTGTTTCGAAGATTTCACATCCATCATCGTTAAGTTACATTGGAGGAGTGGTAGAATACCATCCCGTAACTCAAATAAAAAACAACGAAAATCCAGTAGATCTAAACGCCAAAAATTATGTAAAATTCATCAAAATAGCGGCCGAATATGTGAGTACAATATTTATTGTGCTTCATGTCATCCATAGTATATACTTTATACACTTTAAGAATTTAGTTTAACAAACTTAAAATATATAAGACTTAGAAGTTATCGTGTGGTTGACAGAATGTCGACATCTTGGTTTTCCCCGAATTAAGCCTGTCGGTTTCAACCTCGGCAGACCCTAAGATTGCCCGCAGCGAAGGAACCTCGTACGTCCCTGATCCTAAGGACAAAATGGTCCTCTGTGACAATGATACCTACGCATTTGTAAGAGCAATTACTATCCCATAGTCCCAATTTTATTTTCATAATAATATCCTCAAATTCTTCCAGTCATTGAGGACGATATCGTGTGCTGCTCGGGACCATCGAATGTATGTGGTGGTGAACCATCGCGAAAAGGTCGATTGCCTCGGCAACACCACGGGATGTCCCAGCGACAACCTTTTGATCTACAACACAAACGTAGCCTTCGACCGTCAGGGAAGGGTCATCGCCAGGTACCGAAAGTTCAACCTTTTTTATGAACCAGGTGTCAATGTGACCGATAGTGGTGTCGTATCCACCTTCCGGACGGACTTTGGCGTGACCTTTGGCCAATTCATCTGCGCCGATATAATGTTCCTCCAGCCAGCGTTGAACTTGACCCAACAACTGGGTATTCGAGACATCATCTTCCCAAGCTTATGGTTTTCTGAACTTCCATTTCTATTGAGTGTTCAAGTCCATGCTGGATGGGCTTACACCAACGACGTCAACCTCCTGTCTTCTGGTGGGAACAATCCATCTAATCGCAACAGTGGTAGGTCTTCCTTTTCCGAAACCATCATTGAATCGACCATCTTGTTTTGATGGTAAAATAAAGTTGTTGAAAAAGTTTCGTAGAATCTGCAATGGATACGTCATAGTCGTAAACTTCTCCTGTGCAATAACTTGCCAGAGTATCCTTCCGAGAAAATCTCTCATCCTAAGGGTACGGTACTTTTTTTCCGCAGGTACTGGAATTTACATTGGTCGTAAGGGTTACAGCGACGTTGTCCTAGAAACCAAATCATCCAACGTTCTCGTCGTATCGGAGATACCAAAGGTGATAAAAGGCAAGCGACCTTTGGACACAGATAGAAGAAATTCTCACGTCTATAGGTTCAGCGATTCGGAGATCGATACCACCAGGACATCTGCTTCCTTGCCTTATGTGCCTTTCGTCGACGAATTGAGTATCCATACGACGAAACCCATCGATCTCAAGTTGAGGGAGCACGAGGCGATCATGTGCAATCGAGGACTGTGCTGTGACTTTAAGTTCAGAACTAGCTTCGATCAAAGTATGATTAAAGATGGTCAACAACACTACAAGTAAGTACATCAAATGCTATTGTAATGGTCGGAAATTGGATGTATTTTTGCTTCATAGGTACAGAATCGCAGTGTTCAATGGCACGCGATTTCTATCAAGGGGCGTGGGCCTGAAAAGCTGCGGTATAATCTCCTGCACCAACGACACTTTGAGCAGCTGCGGTAGATTGTTCGACACCAGCGTGGCAATAAGTTCACCGACGACTTTCCACTCGGTCGAGATAACAATGCGAAATGTTCGTGGAGGTAATCATCAATTTATGCCCGGTGGCTTATTGAGAAACTTGAGGCCAATGAACGTGACGGATTACGTTTTTGAGGTTGAGAATCTTCGGGAATTGTCGATAATTAGGATGGTTTTGAAGAAAGATAGAAATGATTTGCTCACATTTGCCATTTTGGGTCGGAATTTCGATGCTGATGATTCAGAGATCACGAAAAACTCCTAAATGACAAGACTGTCTTTTGTATGTATGTGTGTGTGTTTTTTTTCCATATAAATTAGATATAATTAAACTGAGAAACCCAATTATTTGAATCAAAGAAAATTTCTATACCCTCATTCCGTTGAATGTTTTCTTTAAATTCAAAAAATATAAGTTTATATGAAAAATAATAATTTATTAAATTTT